AACCATTTGAGACCGTGGTTACGTGCCTAACAAATTACGGAAGTACAATTCATTCAGCCTAAGGGGTGCAATGGGTGCATGTGACTTTGAATTTAATTATCTGCTCATTTCGCAGGGGAAGAAGGGTGAGAAACTACTCATGGGAGCCTTGGCGTGAGTAACTCTTGCCATCACTGCATTGCCGAGTCATCAGGGCTGTTAAACGTTTTAACCCTTAACTATTCCGTCAAATAATGAATGTTTTGGAGTAAGTGACGGAGTCCCTCTTCTTCTACGCCCGCAGAGACGTCTGCTATAATGCCCTTCAGCAGCTGAACGTCAATTGGTCGGTTCAAGGTCATCGAGGGGTCGTCAGTTGGACTGCCGCTCAATTTTGCTTTTGCATACATCCAATACCAGTAAAATGCACGAAGCGCCTAGAATGTACAGCTTTATTTCCAGTAGCATCGTGATTCCTCTCACATTTCTCAGTTAGCCTCTCCGAGAAAGAGCACCACGCGATTTGTGAATCGTAAAATTGAGGGCTACAGTACAAAGTCAAGCAATTTCAAGTGAGCTTGCTTCATGGTAGTGCTGGAGCTGTTATTGGACAAGTGCTGATAGAATTCCGGTTTACATTAGTATGATCTAATGTTGCACAAGAAGTAAGGGTCATAGCAACCAATGAGTAAAAGCAGCGTTATTTGGCTTGTGTTTTTATGCATTAGCTCAACTGGCTGCCGATGTGTGTTCTTGCCAATATTAACTAAAACTTAGTGCCCATCAGCTATGATTTAAATACCAAGATGATTGCCTGTCATTGAATCTCAAAGTTTTAATCAATTCGAGCGAAGTGCAACATTGCACCGAAAAGGTTATTAATTTTAAGTTAGGACCACAAATTTGAGGTTCCATCTGATGTTTAGCAGTTGTTTTGAGATGCGCTCGGCCCTTGTATGCTCTATCCCTTCCCCGCCTGTTCAACTGTGTGTAGTCTACCAATGTACTACCTTCCTTTACCTGGTGCCTCTTCAATAGTCCCAATTTTTTTGCCCCAAACACAGGTTATATAACAGGCGGGTAAATGCATCACGACCTGTTGAATTACCAACTTTGAAAGTTTAGTCGCCTGTTCCGTTTATAAAATCCATCCTGGATTGAGAGATACAAAATTCACAAAGGGCGCAAATCAAACATGTGATCGTATCTATCGTGGGAACTGCCCGACTAGTCTCATACTCTTAAACCACGGACTTCAAGAGAGGGGTAGTTGCAGTCCTCACGCACAGGAATCGCGGTCCAACTTTCCTGGCTCCCGCCCTTCTCCTATGAAAGTCAGTTTAAACGCTAGTATATATTACATCTGTGTTTAAATACCGATAGCTCCCAAATCTGAACGGGAAATAAGATTAGCCTATATTCAACGATAAATCCGACTACTTAGGACCACTGTTATCAGACTAGCCGAAATAGGTTCGGTGTATGCCTTAAACCGATGTTGAAAAGCTGTCCTCGCCCCTCCCGAATGCAAGCCCTGCCTCACAAACAGGTCTATCTTAGACCGGAAAAGTAAAAATTCGTTGGGTAAATGCAAAAATGAAGGAGAAATTTATAAACAAACCGTACTTTTCGATCGAAACACAAATCTCTTCCATTAATATATAAAACTGACTTTCTATATCGTCCTCGTAAAATGCATAAATACATCATTTGCACCGCTGCCAAAGAAAAATTATATTCTATGCTACTTCGTATTTGCGTCCATCGTAATTATTAGCCTGCTACAAAAGATTTTCGACGACTTTGGTTTTTTGTTTATGGGAATTGAATTCGGACTTCGAGGTTTTAGTGCGTGGGGCTGCCTTGTAAGTTACGTCGGTGAGTCTTCACTGTCAGCACGACACTTGTGTATGGTATTAGATTTGATTCTGTCCCCGTTTTGAGTTTACTTCCTTTGTGTGTTTTTCTAGCGCCCTTTTCTATGACGAATGATTGCGCATCAATATTACTATGCCTTATCTCTATGTCTGCTGTTGACTTTCCAGTTGTGAGCATACTTTAAGTTGACTTTATCATTCACCTCCACTTAATTACGTTGGGCCTAGTTCTCATTCGACTATACACCTTCTCATGCAAGACATGGGAGACGCTGGTGGCGCCTTACCCGAAGACGCTGAAACAACCCTGAATGAACCACCCTACGAGATAATCGATCTGCAGGTATTCTAACTACTTTGTGATGCGAAATGTTTAGGAGTTCTTCCCCACCAACACGTTTCCCATTAAATCGGAGACTTTGAATCCAAACCACTCATCAAATTCTCCAAATTCTTTAAGCGAAACACATGAAACGATGGATGTGACATCTATGGGGATAGAAGACCAGCTTTATAATAGTTACTTGAGTGGTGCAATGTCTTTTGATGAGCTTATGAAAGAGCTTCACACAAAGACCAATTTGGATGAAGTAGGTAGCAATTTCAAGATTCCCACTCGACGTCGTGTGCGTCCTTCGCCTAGAGCTCGAACTGCGAAATCCAGAAGGGAATTTGATGATCTACTTTTCGAGCCAGGTAACTACTTCTTGATTTATACCCTCCGATCAGTTTTGAAGGAATTCATTTGACATATTTCTCCCTCATATTTAGAAAGCGATTTTGATGATGAAGGGTTTAGAAGAAAACGAAGGGGTAAACATTCAGCCCCTCGGAAGGTGGGCAATATTGATTATGAGGCATCCCAGTTGCAAAAGAAGTGAATCTGTAGGAAGTTTGTTGCTGAATGAGTACAAGTGGCTTAGCTTTATGCAACGATTTATTCTCCTATTTCGATATGTGAAGTACCATTTGAAGGATTTTCACCACTGGATTTTAAAACGTCAGATTGTGTTGTAACTTGCTTAAGCTTCGCCGCTTTCCTCAGAACCCGTATCCTTATTTTCCCAATTTCAGAAATGGGACCTTAAGCTGGAATTAGCCAATTATTTGGGGGAGGCAGAAAGGCATTTAAACAACGGGGATTTCGACAAGACTGAGGAAATATGCCGCAACATCATTAACGCCGGTGAGGATTTTGGGCATCCATAACGTGTCCGAGCAAAACTTATAACCTGATAAGTTTTACCTTCCAGCTCCACAAGCCTCTGCTCCCTACCTTGTTCTGGCCGACATGTTTTACAGGCAGGACCGCAAAAAGGATTCCCAAGAGGCAAGTTTGATGGCACTTGTTTTTGTCCCTTTCCCGTGCAAACGTGTCTTTAAATCCCATTCTTCTGCAGCACATGCTACAGGCAGCAGAACGAAATCCTCGCGATTCTACGTTGTGGATGAATTTGGTTGATTTTGCGGAGGATGAGGGCGACCTGAAGCAGGCCATTGTCTATGCTCGAAACGGTAAGCATTGCAAACACTCGTAATAAAGTGCTGTAAGTAGCGAAAAGTTTATTGAGGTCCTATTCCTTTCTGTCTCTAGCGATGCGCTCTGCACGGAATGATACAGAGATTCGTCACCGGCTCGTGAATCTTCTGATGACGACAGGTCAGGAGAAGGAGGCCCTTCGGGTGCGACTCACTGCACTCGTTTTTGGTAAAAATAATGATCCTCGTAAGACCTACAATCAGATCGTCAAAATCGCTGAAGTACGTTGTATAGAGTGCAGTGCTTATGGTGTCACTTGAAAATCTTTGGAATTTAAGAGCTATTAGGCGACTTGGACATCGACATGTGGCACGCACTTTGCTTCTTGCACGTACTTTTACTTCAATTGTTAAAAAATGGACAATACTCCAAAGTAGAGCTATCCTCGGTCTTACGGAAAATTATAACCCTAAATTTGCGATATGATGTGAAAGATTCGGTTATCGTTGGATGCGACTTAACTCTGGATTCCTTTTCATGCACATGTTAGCTATTGTCGGTCTAAATTTTCCTGCCAATGAGCTTTCGTAGGTAAAAATGGAGGATTTTATGGTAAAAACTTATTTTGCTTTTGATTCTGATGTTTACGCATATTATTTCTAAGAATTGCTCAATTCACTACACTATGGGCTTGGAATTAACGTTTGGCAGGATGTAAGGGACTCCTTAAAAGTATTCACAGAAGCAATTTTTGTAGGGCATACCTAAATGCTTGAATCAGTTGAAGTAAAGTGAATGCAATAGATACTGATGTGTGATGCTTGAATTGTCTCTGAAGATATGAAATCTTATCTAATTTGGGGACCAGTTTTGGCGTTGACTTGTAGATGTTCTAAGGGACTAATAACAGTCTTCTGTCTGAAGAAGCCGAAGCATTGGGCGGTGTAAAGCCTGTCCAGTTTCACGCGAAAGAGGAGCAGAACTTGGTAATGAAATTCAGATTTAATCCATTTATTTGCATTTTACTTTTCTAATGGTAGGAGTTTGCCGCTCTTGGTGACCCAAGTGGATGTATTCGGACCTATGAATTGGCTTTCGAGAAGCTTCCAGAGATATGTCCTACCAAAGGTAGACCTTTTCGCTACGGCAGAGCCATTTTGCTCCCACTGGACAATCCTGTAATGGTAGCGTAAACACCATCTCTGCTTCCTTTTCTCCCCAGATCAGCTCCGTGTTCTTGACCTCTTTCAAGAAGGTGATCGACCTGAAGAGGCTCTTAAGGTCGGTTTTACTTGACTGCCTATTTTGCTCCATTTGTCCTAGTTTCGTTGCGCGTTATTTCTCACTAGACCTAAAAGGCCAACTTGGGTCTGATTACTTCGCCTCTCCTGTAGTTCTTCCTCATGTACTGGGGCGTCTCCCTCATATGCGAGAATGGACAGGTTGCCTCACCATATCGCGTGCCTTCCAACACTGCTGTTATGGGGTCAATTCGGAGGTAAACCAATTCCGTTGTCATTTTCAGGCACTACATTTTGAAGAAAGGTAGTTTGCAGCAAATATCCTTTATCCGAAGAGGTGTGTGATCTAGCTCTAAAATTCAACCACTGTCCGCTAGATTGTTGTCTGGTTTTAGCATTTCCATAACTTTATTGTCGGCCTTTTTAGCGGCCCTCTCTAACGCTAAAGCTTTGGGACTGTGATCACTTTCCTTCTTCATTTCAGATGTGAATTTGCAGAGGACATGAACGTGGTTGTACTGATCCGTTTCTTTATCCTCATGTTAAAGTACAACTTGGGACCCATCATAAAGGTAAGTTATTGTGGTAAGTGGGTTTAGATGTTTCCCTTTTTTTAAACCGGCTTACAGCACATTGGTAACAGATTAAACTAGAGGTGTAAAAATTGTGACTTTTCTGAATGGTCGGATGACTGGCAGCGTATTTGGCAGGGGTAGTGATGCATGTTAATTCACAGGGAACTGTAACTGCCTGAGTCACTAGTTCCATTTTCTTGCAGTAACGTGGTAAAGCTGTTACCAACGGCTTTCTTCATTCATAGGATCACTTGAATTCCCTCATTACCTCCTCCTCCACTAAGGAGTTTCGTCGAAACCATAATCTCTTTTTCGATCTGGCTAAGTCCTGCAAGTCGGCTGGTCTCATTTCTGAAGGACTGGCCATCGCGGGACGTCTAACTACTACGCCCAAAACTAAGCCTGTGAGCTCTGAGTCTGTCGGCTAGTTAATTTAATTGCCTTTTCATTAAGTATACATTTTTTGTTAAAGAATCCCAAAGTACTGTGCCTTCTCGGTGACCTGCAAGTGGAATCAAACCTGCACGAAGAAGCCCTCTCAACCTACCGTCACATCATCAATCGGCTCGACCCACGCTGTGCTGAGGCACGTTTAGCACTGGGGAATCTTCTTCGTCGTCTAGGTGACGAAAAGGCTGCTCTAGAAGTTCTTGAACCTTCTCTACTCCGTATCAGTCAACCAGCTAATCAAGAAACTTCAGTGGAAGGGGAAATTGAGGCAGGCAATTCTACTGAGGATGAGGACGATGATGATGACGATGAGGGTGATGATAGTGAAACATCCAACACTGATCGCTTCTCTGACTTGGAGGAAGATGAGGATGATGAGAGTGGAGGGAACAATTCTGACGTAGCGGAGGCCGAGGCGGTGACATCGGCAGTGGTGAGTGGTGGGTTTGTGACCACGCCAATGCTCTGCAATGATCCCACCGCCATGCGACTGGCTTTTGAGCGCTGCAAACTCCTCGATTCGCCTACCACTGTTAATCAGTTTCTGGAGGAGGCATGTCGACTCCTCTTCGCCGATGTAATGCAGGTTTACTCCTGTGAACGACCTGGACGTGAGTCCTCGATCCACCTTGGAAATACTTTCTACTTATATGTTTTATGTAAACGCAACTTTATAATTCCTCTTTCAGCCGCCGTGATGTTTCAGTACTACCTATCAAAACACCCTTCTGTGCAAGCGTTAGCTCATCTAGACGAGCAGACGGATCCAGCTTTACGCGTCTCATCTGAGGATCTGTGGGCGACTTGCTGTTGTCGAGTGATTGAGATTTTGATTAAACGAGTTGATTACATCACTTTGGATCGGTTTCTCTCCTGGGCCTCTGTGCTGCCTTGGATTGTGGAAACGTCTTATCGACGACGCATGATCACTCACCTCTACATCAGCAATGCGCTTCAAGTTGGGCATGGCGAGACTGCTATGGAGGCAATGAGACAAATTGAAAAGGAGGTATGCCTTTGTGGAACTTCGTTCCCTCTTTTCTTAGTTTTCATCCATTCGCCCAACTAGCTTCGTAAGGCAGTATACAACTTGGCTTTATTTAACCTATTTTCTTAGTTTTCCCATCTGAATCAGTACTGGAACCTCCTCAACATTGCTTCAACCACGTCTCGAGAGCTTCGACTTACGCGGTTCCTTCTTCGGCGAATAGCGAAGGATAGGGACAATCTCGGTGCCTCGCTTATGAGTTGTGGCGATTGCATGGCAAGGGGTTCAAGTCGCTACTCCATAGGTAGGCTCCAACTCATTTTTATAGCTCTGTGTTCCGACTTAATCTGAGTATTTGAGTGCAGTCAAAACACTGCTTCGTTTTAGCCCTCATGGCTGATATCCGTTCGAGATTTCCTAACAACCCTCTCGTCTCTCTCCTGCTCGCCATCTGCTTTCTCAACATCTCTGTTCACAAGCACCTCTTCTCTCGTCACAAAACGGTCCTTCAGGTGCGTATTTCGATTGCAAACTGGAAGGTGTTACACTGTGCACTTTCAGTCCCTTCCTTGGTTTGCAGTACGACAACGCCTTTTGCCTCTTTTAGTGCCTCGGATTCCTGAGCGAATATCGCCAATTGCGTGGGGAATGTCAAGAGACCTACTATAATATTGCTCGAGCTTGCCATCAATGTAGTAAGAAGCTTTATTCACTTGAAAATTTGAGAAACTCATTGCTATCTTTGAGTACTTGTCCTTCGAAGAGATTTTTGCACCCTTGTAGTGTTGGGACACATGGCTATCCCTTGCTACGAAAAGGTTCTTGAAATGGAACCGGTTGGTTCTACAGAGGAAGAAAAGCGGGTGAGTAATTGGTTGCATGAAATTGTCAAAAGGTGGTATCGTTATTTCACTTCTCTTTTACCTTATTGTTAAAGGTATTCAATATGAAGGCTTTTATTTAGTCTGTGGGGTAACTTCCGACCAATCGTTAGCGCAGCCTCTCATGCCTTCATTTGTAGCACTCAGCCTTGAACTACCTCCATTGACGGTCTATAGGTCTTGTTGGAGTCCTTATTGTTACTTGCTTTAGGTTTTCGTATTTTCCGTTTGGCTCCTTGTTTAAAAGTCAAACGAACTATGGAAGCTGTTGTTACTTGGCCGCAATAGTTATCTTTTCAATCTAACTACTTAGTGTCTCTGTGGTCGTCATTCAAGTTCATCTAGTACGTATAAGGGCAAATGCGAGACGTTTTGGGGCCACGTGGTTGAGTAAGGGACGATTCATGAGTTTCATTTTTGTCACAAGGCCAAAGTCTCTATTTTAGGATATTGAATGTGGTTGTCTTTCGCGCATCCTTAAATGCCTCCCGGTTGCAAATTTGATCACCTTATAGTTTGTGTCACGGAGTTTCCCGAATTTAGTAGGCGGGGCACTTCGTCCCTGAATAAGAATGTTATTCATCTTGCCATCTCGATTGGAAGTGAGGCGCGGAAGGCTCGTTCTGCAATAATTTTGAGATACTTTGTATATCCCTTGTCTCCTCTGTTCATTTGTTGGTGGATCTGGCATTGGTAGTCGAGCTAGGCGTTCATTTATTCGTTCTAAGTCACTATTTCTAAAGTAATGCCTTTTTAAGTAGAGGAAGGCGTGCTGATGCCCTCAATAGCGTAAGCTAACCTTGACACCCTAAAGTGGTTTCATTTTTTTGCGACCCAGTTGAAGTCTTTATTTGACCTTTCCATAGAAGCGAAATAGACCTTGTAAAATATGGAGTTGCATCGGGCCAGATTTGTTTGCGACTTTTTACACACTGAAGTGGTCGTGGTGCTTGTGATGTTCCTTCATTGTTAAAGTAAACATTTAATCTGTTGTCTCGCGACCTTAATAACGCCTCCATTTGACCGTTCGTCAACAAGGCCTAGATTAATTGCGATTTATTAGCGTCTGTGACACCCAGTTTGTGTGGTGAGACAAGGCTGAAGGCGAGGTGTAGCTCTAGCACAATCAATAAGTGGACGTCGCTAGCAGGAAGTAATTCCTCCACAGTCCTAGAGACCTTCAATGAATTGGTTGGTAAGCGCCCGACTTTTTTGGGTTAAAAAGGTGTGTATTTTTTCGTTCCTTTGAGCTTTTACATGCGCGTGTATTTTCGCATCACTAAATTGGCATGCCTTCTTGATCAGTCTTTGGCCGCGATGTTTCCTATCATTTACATGGTGGAAACGGCATGGGAGCATTCGTTCTTCACTCTCGGATTGTTAATTTTCCACTATTCTCCTTTACTTTGCAGCTTCTCGATTTGAAGATGGAAGCAGCGTACAATCTGCAGTTGCTCTACCAGCAAAACAAGAATCCAACAATGGCGAGGTACATTATGCAGAAGTACCTTGTGATTGAGTGATCCCGACTCGCTCCCTTCTCCTTCCCTGGTGCCTTGTGTACATATCTATGTGTCAATCCATGTACCTCTTTAGTATCACAACCCTTCCGTGTAAATGCTGTAGTATACTCCTGTCAGATTGTTCGCTATTTCTTGAATAGTTTATTGTGGATTATGAATTTGGGCAAAACGCGTTTATTGTTGACTTCCAGGGTATTTTCGGAGCTGGCGGAGGCCTTCATATATAAAGACTGATGACATCGTTTATCGTAGGCCAGCTTTTCGGTCCCTTCTGGAGTGCAAAATAGGTTGGGAGGGAGAAGTTACGTAGAAAAAAGTAGCTACGGCAGCACAACTGTAGGTTGTCCGGCCACCTACGGCGGGGAGGGGTTCGGTACAGTCAGAACCGCCCGTCTAGCTTCATGCTTTTGAACCACGGACTTCAAGAGAGGGTTGGTTGCAGTAGATTTATTAGGCATTGATTACAGGAAGAACGGAGATAGGAGTGCAGGTGAGACGAATAGCAGATATCACCCGGAGAGGGATTCCTCACGGTCCTCAGGCACTGGATTCACATTTCAATTATTTTGGTTCCCGTCTCTCTCCTATAAATATCAACTTAAGCACTCCAGTATGTGTTGCATATAGTTCATTTATTTGGAAAAGGCCTGCTATGTTTAATCAATTGGATAGAAGCTTATCATGACCTCCAGATCTAAAATGTTACTGATAAAGTAGCAAGTAGCAGGGAATAAGATTGAGTCATTTTTCTGCCACAGCCCAATTACGTGCTAATCCAGCACGTATCCCCATCAGATTTCCCAGCCTGAAGGTAAGTTTGATTTGTGGTATTATTTAAGTCAAAAGCGCCCTCTTCCCAGAATAATGTCTGCGCAAATAACGCCTCTGATTAAAGTAAAAGAGCTTGTATGTGTCGAGTCTGTTGATATCAAGGGTGGGATTAAGTCCACTGTTTGTTTATAGGATCGTTTCGCGTCATACCGCAATGTCTTGTGATAAACAAACACTGCCTTGTTTATTGCAATATTGCCTTGGACAATATAAAATGGAACGCTATGTTGCAGGCGGCTTAGTGCGATATGATGTGGTTGCAGCCCCTTTTGATCTGCTTCGCCTGTCTCTTCGGCATTGCTGCCCATGGTTTGGAGCTCACTCTCCAGCCAGATGAACTCGTACGTAGCTTTCAATTAACGGAGATAAATGCGTCTGTAAACATTATTATTGGCGTCAAATGTGCTATATTTCTTTTGAAGCATACAAATGGTCTTGATTTGTCTTGTTTAACTAAACCAAAGGGAAGGTTTGATTCGCTGGTCACGCTTTTAACTATACGGGAGGTTTGCAACGTTTATATCGCGTTGGTGTTTTTATGAAAGGAAGTGCTGAATCTCATAAACCATTTAAGAATTGCGTAGAATAAAGTAATTGCTTTTGAAAGGCTATGTGACTGTTATGGATCATCTATGGTCTATGCTACTTCTTGTATGCTCATGCTGTAATCCAATGCTAATGTAACGGAAATTTTATAAGCTCTTTGAGTTGGGGGAACTCTTTTGGTCAGTTGCTGACGCTGCATAATAAAGAAATATGTTTGAAGGCAGGACTGCTTGTAATTGACTTCAAATGTTGGAGTGGATTCAATTCGTATCCATTTTCGATCTGAGCCAAAGTAGATACCTCTGTCGTAATTGTGAGTGCTTTACCCTAAAAATGTATGCAATCTTATCCAAATTGCATTTACAATTATGTTGCGAGACATGCTTTATGTGGATGTGGAGCTTTTGTGCCTCAGAATGTAGCGAACAAGTAGACTGGAAAATGGTCATTATAAGCGATCTTGAATCCTTAAACTCGGAGACGAGTATTATAGAAATTTCGTTTTTGAGGTCTGATATGTGGTATGCACCTTGTGGACACGTTTTATGATGCTGTAATATTAGGTACACTGTATTCCTCCACCTTACCTCATAGGTCAAGGCGCAGCGAGAAAGCCATGGTGGCTTCTACTTTTATGACTCAAATGGTGCGACGTTAATGTTCAATCGCAGCTTATTCGTCTACCGCGAGAACATTTACGACGCTTGGTCTCGCTGGAGTGAGTGCTCCCCTCACACTTGTCTCGAGCACCGTTACCGTCGTTGCATTGATGACTCCTACACTCAACCCGTTAACTATCTTACCACTTCTGCTCGTGTCTGTCCATTCAAGTACATCGCAGAGGAGAGGCCGTGTGAAGACAAGACCAACTGCATCATCAACGGTACGGCTAGTTCGACGTAGCTCTTGAGCGAAAGCTGCGGAAATAATCAATGGGTAGTAGCATTGGTGTATGCTAAACTTTCGAACCACAATAGTATTTTAAATTTTTCCTTGCTGTAGTTAATTTCTTGCTGCACTTGTACTGTAAATGCGCTTATATATTTCTCTGAGGGCTCAGTCTCCATAGCAGACTTTTCTTTGCTCCATTATCACAGGCATGTGTAACTGCTTCCCTCCTCATTTTTAATATGCAACTATTTATGTACTGTCAACCTTTTAGCCAAACCATCTAAGGTGCTGATTGAAATGCAAGAAAAATGTGGCAACAGGGGATCATTCGATGCCAAAACTCCAAAGCCCAAACGCCGGAAATCGAAAGACGAAGATGATGAGAGCGAAGAACCTGAACAATACGCACCCGAAATGCCACTATACAGCCTAAAGATTCTTGGTGGAAAAAGCGCCAAGTCAAAGAGCTGGCCATGGCATGTAAGTCTTTTTAGTTAATTGTTAATGCGGCTGTTTGCATAGTTTGCGTAAGTGATTGATGCGGTAACAAGTCGATGACTGTGTAGGTAGATTCATAGACGAATAGTTTGGAAAGTGGTGGAATCGATGAATAGGTACTAGTATGCCGGGTTGGCAAAATGAATCCGGGAGTAAGTTGGTTAGTGGATGAATAGATGAGTTAACCCATTTTAGTTCACAACTTTCACCTTTGTCTGCTTGCTGTGCAGCTTTCTTTACAACGGAGTATCTGTATTCTTCCACGTCCGTTCTTCTAGGTTGGGATTTACAAAGCAGCCAACTACAACGCTTCTGAGGGATTGACTCGTTTGAAGTCTGAGAACATTATATGCGGAGGCACATTGATCACGCCACAATGGGTTCTGACTGCAGCGCACTGTCTGAAGCCAATTTTCGGGTCCTCGGCTGCCTTGCCTTTCGGCATTCCAACGCCCCTAAACACGCCTGAGATGGAGCCCATTTCGCTGCTTGTTCGAGCCGGTGACACCGTCCTGGAGGGCACACGTACTCGTAATGAGCAAGAGAGCGATCACGTGGTTGACTTAGTCGTCATTCATCCCGATTGGGTGGCTCAACGTGTTAATAGTCCCTTTGATATAGCTCTGTTGAGGCTTGAGACCCCTGTGGACATCGGTGAGTGATACATTAAACCATGAGGCTGTTTTGATCCTCATGTGCCTTCTTTACTCCTCGCCTTCACAACAAAGTCCTCACTTTCCATATCCATCAGTCGTCCGCTCATCTTTTCATTGATCCTTCCCTACTTCATCCACTGCTATGGAGATTATTCATTTCTCCATATATTGACTCTTGTTATCCGAATCTTGCAGTTTTTTCATTCAGTTGCCCCTGTATCACTCCACTCTCTCCAGTACTCGTCTGCACTACTTAATTTTGACTTTATAGAGAGTGGCGGCGTGGGTGTAGCCTGCGTACCAAAGGAGGCGGATGCAACGCCGGCCGAGGATGCAGTTTGCTTTTCCGTTGGATGGGGCGAGAACGATCGACCCCCGAGCAAGCCACGACACCGTCGTCCCGCCTTCTTTAATCCATTCTATTGGCCCTTCGGTCGTTTATGGGAACGTCGATCACAGCGACCATCTACCTTGCGTGAGATCAAAGTTTCTATTGACCCACCTGAGAAGTGCTTCCACCATGACGATGAAAACGACGCCCAGATCTGCGCAGGCAGCTCTAATAAGGTTTAAAAATCTTTGATTCCTCCGTTCCTCTTACTCGTTATTTTATCAAACAGCTACTTCTTAGTCCTGACGCAAAAAAAGTAGTGGCAAATGAGCAAAACTGTTAGTCTGAAAACTCGAAATCTTTTCCTCTTAAGAAGAAGATGGTAATTGTGGTGATGTTTATAGGGTGTTTGCGCGGGCGATACGGGGGGTGGACTCTTCTGCCGAAATGAAGAGGATGGCCGGTGGTACGTATACGGCGTGATGGGCTCGGGACCTACGCAGTACTGCAAGACACGTCGTTGGCTCTACAACTCTGTGGGCAGTGTTATTCAGTGGATCAATCGCTACGCAGTCTAGAGTCATTCAGTCATCACCATCCCATCCAATTAATGTCACAAACCGCCAACATTGACATGTGCTTTTAAGTCAATTTTCGACCCTTAAATTAACTTCGTAAAGCATTGAATACAACTTAAACTGTCTTAGTTTGTTTTGTATGCAGCGGATATTGCCCATTCCTCCGTCAATTAGAGGTCGAGGCAGACTTTCAATTCCATTCCACTCAATAATTTGTTTGCCTTACGTGATAATATCCTTAGTGCCTCCGTCAGAAAAATTGTATTGAAGCATCAATCTTCTTCGATCGTATCTATTCCATCAACTCATTTGCATTTTGTGAAGTTAATCTAACAAAACCAGCACATTTCATACTATGATATAGTTGCTACTTTTATAATATAAGTAGACTATCACACTGTTGCGTTTTGCTATGCATTCTGCGAAGATGGCTTTTTTCTGGGAGACTGATTTCACTAAATGCAGAACTGTGAAGGCAACAAACTGTTGAAATGCATCTCGAGTGTTTAGTGACAAAAAGCGGCTCTCCTGATCACACCTCGTTGACCTTTACCATGCGCATATGATGGCCTCTAGTTTTGTCATTAAAATAGTTCTTTCCTTTATGCTTAGAAGTCCTTGCTACCCGACTTTAATGCTGAAGTCTGGTGACTCGTATCATGATTAGTAGTATGGTTATGTAAGTTTCTATAGAATGATCGCTCCGATGGCTTTAACGTGTACCCTACATTTTAAAGGGTTGTAGTTTGCTGCGTGAAAGAAGTAAGAAATAAGAGAATAAAGTGGTTCTCGAAATCCATGTTGTTTTTGAAGAGGCAGAAGAAAAAAAGGCTTTCCATCTCCTCCTCCGCCTTTTGAATGTGCCGTGATGGTCTGGCTCTTTTCAACCCCCATAGGAACAGTTGCGTTGCCTTCTTGTAACTGCTCTCTTTGTTTCAACTGAGGCTTCCTAAGTACCTTACTTGCCTTCAGAAGGGCAAAATTTTGTCAGTGTATTTCCCATTCTAAGCTAGGGAGCAAGTAAATTTGGCATACCATCCAATTGGAGTGACTAGATTCATCACAACACCTCAAGTGCGGTGATTACCGAAACTTAATGTTGTAAGATTAGCGCAATTGGCCCCATTGGGCGTAACAAAGTTGGCGGCTTCCCTAACTCTCATACCCACATTGAGAATGAAATAGCAAGGTCATTTGATTAAATATCAGGCCATTATTTCCACTACTTGGAAAATGACTTTGTAAAGCTACTACTCGGCAATTCAAATGGGCTGTTACAGTACCAAGAAATCTGAGAGCAAATTTTACAAATGTTTTCAAGACTTTTGTGCATTCTTGCCTTCCTTAAGTACTCGACAACATTGCAAATTGCACATGCAGACCAAAGTTGGTCGGTATTCAGCGAAAGAGGAGCACGGTTTGGGAGATCAAAATGTCTGACACTTTAGGACCATAAGTCACAAGGTCAACCGACAGGTAGGCAGCTCTCAAAGTTGGGCAATGCCAGCTCCACGCAAAAGAGGCTACACATCAGGTGTGAGTGTGAGGCGACTGTTAGTGCCAACGTCAAAACAGGAGGAGTTGCCTTACAACCAGCATGTGAACCAATCAAAATTGTCTTCGTCTTCTTTTGTGACGCCTTGGCCGTAAGGAGGTAAAGAAGAACATGATCGGGTTCATAAGTATGAGTAGAAATACAAGTGCCTGGAAGTCATTACTCTTTGCTACGATCGAAATAGTACATTTTAGCGTAAGTAAGTCTAGAATCCAGCATTTAAGTTTTTAGTAACAAAAGACTTGATTTTTAAGTAGCTTGATTAAAATAATTTCTTAGCCATCAATGACAGCGGTTGGTCTGCACTACCGTGCTAGAGGTTTTGATAAATTAACCATCGTGATGACGTCGATCGGCATTGTCACACCTCATTTTCCGCCCTGTTAGACGTTTTGTAAGATTGGGCCTTCACCAACCTCCACCTGATTGGCTGGTGGACACAGGGACAATTCGTCCACCAGACAAACCGTCTTGAAACCTCCTAACACAATTCGGGAGGTGAATATCACCACTCAATAGCTACTGGAAGAGAGGATTGCAAAATATCAACTCATGGATGAAATTGCAATTTCACATGTCGACTAATTCAACGAAGCTGTTAATTTTAATACAAAGTACAATTCAGTTCAGAACAATAAGAAGTTGAGTGACGCTTAAATTTAAGGGGATGGAGGAGACATCTTTTCAACTACCGGCTAAAGGTCATTTGCCATGGAGATCGTCACTTTCCCAGCTTAGGCATTTCTCTTCACTCGCAAGAGCGATGCATGGATGTACTAAGGACAGAGGGATGACGGTGCTCCTCCTACCAGTGCTTTAAGTAGTGGCGATTTTTAAGTCTCTCTAAAATCAAAATGCTGCCCCTGTGCCAATTTAATTGTTTAAATCACCGTCAATTTGCACCATCGACCTTTCACCCGTCCAAGTCGTCTTCTTCAGTCATCTATTGGCGGCGTACTAACCGAGATCGCATCGCTAAAGTTAAATTGCTAATTGTTGAATGTTGTCTCTACTGCCAAATTTTCATCACGCAATTATTTCGGTAGCCGTCTTTTGATTTATGGAAAGTTCGCCTCGCATACGTGCGGAAGTTGACATCGGGAGTGAATGGACGACTGCCTTTTGGGAAAGCAGAATGCAAAAAAAAACGACTTTCTCTAACCAACCAAGACTTCTTATTACGGGATAAGGGGCAAAATACCAAGGAAGGAGATGTGACCTTTGCCATGGCTTGAAATCTGTCCGTCAAAGTGTCCGCCACCGACATTGGTGATCAAAACAAAGTGTTACTTTATCCCTCTCCTCCTTTGACTAACGTCTTTGACGCTCGCCTCGATAGACTTTCCTTGCTCATCATCTGAACATAGTTGGTGCTGTACGGAAATACTTACGAGACAGCCGTTTTGGTCAACGTCAACGTCAATGATCTCTGCCAACGGCGTTAGCTGAATCTGGACTTTCGTTCGGTGGAGTCACAGGATTCTGCGGCTAGGGATTGCGTTGGACAACAAATCTGCTCCTGACTAGACGCTGCAACACTGATCCAGCAACATATCCATTGGAATGCAGCATCAGCACAGTCATTGTGACAATTCCATTGCAAGCCTCTTTCATCGGGGTCCAACTCGAGGGTTTACCGTGGACAAAGCATGCACAACAAGTGTAGAAAAATCATTGACTAAATCGACTAAATACCCAAGAATTATGTCGTTCTCAACTCTTCTCTTGTAGAGAAGTTGGAAATTCTTCCTCCAAAGCATTGGTCTTTCATATGCATCGCAGTATTTTGCTGCAACTGATGCTAATCGAGTTAGAAGCCACAACGAAGTTGACTTCGTTTCCCGTTGGCATCAATCTAGCGTCCCGAGACTTTCCACTTGGCAACAGAAGGTGTGATTTGATTAAACTACCTGTCCTCAGAGAAAAATTGAAGATGTGTGACTTTGACATGGTCTGATGGCCATCCATCCGGAGGAGGAGGAGGAAAAATGGTCTTCAAAGCGACCCTCACTTGAATACAGACAGTGGAGCGAACAAGTTATTCCAATGTCCCTTTAAAAATAATTAAATAAACCACTCTTTTTACAAGAAAAAATGCAAATAAATGTTTAACTTTCACGGATCTTATCATTACTTCCTCATCTTAACTGTCAAGTCGAGCTGCCGGCCAGACCTGCATTCTAGCTGCCTCTGCTAGTAAAGCCTCAACTTGTCTGTGCTTCAACAACAGAAAAATAATAATAATAATAATCTCAACACTATTGATAGGCCATTTCATTTTCCTAGAGGTCAAGCCTCCTTGATGACTGTGTCGTTCATTACTGAATCAGCCGTCAGAAATTTCTATTCGACTGCGATTTCACCGCAGCCTGCCTGTCTTATCAAGTCAGATTCCAGTTCGTAGTGTTGAGGTCCACCTGACATTTATGTATGGAAGGGAAATATTTTAGGAGGTAAATATGGCAAGTGGAATTGAATAGATCGATGTTGGATGAAGGGATAGGGGGTGGATTGCTTGATGAAAGGTTAAATTGTCTATGTTGGAGGTGAAGGTGTTTCAACTGTGCTCCCACCTCACAAATAAGGTGAGATCAAGTTGAGGCGACTTTAAAAACTCCAAAAAACGAATGCTTGCCTACATTCATGATCAACTGACAGCAATCGGTACTGCACGACTTGAAGATGCTTACAAAATGTTGAGGAGGTGATGCCCTTCCACCCCAACAACAGCATCACCAACACTCCGGGATGGGGATAGCGCTATCACCTCAGCAGACAGTTGAAGAACCGAGGATGGACTGGCGCGTTGAGTGGTAAAAATTTTATGGTAATTACAAGCCTTTTCATGCCCACCCTCAGTGTCTTCCCGCCTTTCAACCCCCATCGTTTGTCCTAACACACGTTGTCGTAAACCCTCCACCAAAGTACTGTTGGTGATGTTACATACTGTAAAACTTTAAAGCCTTTTTTTTTAGTAGGCAACATTTTTGTCAGTGAGACAAGTTCACGTTAAACCACTGTCTTCCACAACGGGAGAAGCAGTGGCGCGTTTGAGGCAATGCGACACGCGAAAGCTTCCAACCAGGCGCTTCTAAGCGGAGCACAAAGAATGACTCAAAAATAATAGCTTTGCTAAAGGTAATCGCCTGATTTGCACAGATCATCCATCAACTTCCCGAAAGGTGTCTTCTTTCAATGAAAATGAAGTAATTTTCTTTTTTGTGCCTTCGAGGAGACTACTACAGGTGTGCCTTAAAACGATGTACCGAAGGCGCCAACGATTCGTCCACAGTTTGATGGACAGCAAAAGTGGAGAAAGATTGGATAAAAGTGCCTTTGAAGAAAAAAAAAAGGAATTCTCGTGATGGTGAATCACTCGAGAGTAGCTCTATTTTGGTAAAAGGATGATACAAACGATTTTTCGTGCATTATGAACCGAAGAAGG